TGTTTTTAACTAGTGATTCTGGTAACAAAATTTTAACAGGTTATAAAACGTTGGTTTTTATCAATTGTGTTGATTGACTTCTGTCCTCAAGGTACTTTACTGGTATAACTATATTATTAAGGTGCTAAACTAAAGCTCTGATACCATTTTCGACCAAGGGCTCGGTCAAGGTTTTCTAAAGGCCAAAATAACAACCAGACACCATGCCTAGAACATGGAACTAGAACATGGAACTGCAAAGACGCCAACTTAAGGGCTATGGAGCAGAACTCAGAGGTCCTCTGAACTCAGAGGTTCCCTGACAGACATCCAATTATTGTTATGGCAAATATCAAACATGACCAAGTGCTCAAACACAGTACTGATCGTCAGTTTAGCAAGATAATAACATAATTATAAACAGCGTTTTCTTATTTTGGACAAGAAGTCTACTAAGAAAACCAAAAATAAAAGAGAAAAAGACTTACTTAATTGCTTATGTTGCTGGAACTACTCTTATCACCGGGTATAAATAGTAGTCGGAGATATTGACAGTGATGGACGGTATTAACAGTGATCGAAGTATGTAAGTACAATGAATGGAAAAGAGAAAGTATATGAACAAAGGGAGTTTTATTGATTGAAGGAGGAAGTACTGAGATTTTTTCTTCTCTGGTGTTCTGTACTTCGTTCTTCGGAGTTACAAACTATATACACAAATTACACCGACCTCTACCATGGCTAAGGATGAAAAGAAAAGAAGAAGCTAAGGATGAGAAGAAGAGTTCTTCTCTATCTGAAACTTTCTATCTCTCTTACTCTCTGAAGTTTCATATGAACTTCACATGCACACACTATACAAGCCAAAGAATTCACATGACGATTGTACAAGCAAACAAAGTTTAAAATTATGGACTGCTACACTGTTGCTGCTGCTGCTGGTACTGTTACTGCTGCTGCTGAAAAAACACAAGGACTTCACTTGTTGCTGTCGTCTTTTGTGGAGAAGAGAGACCTAGGGCTTGCATGTCTTTGTTATTCAAGATAAAGGGCTTTCGTGCCATTTTGAAAATGTTTTGGGTTTTTTTGAAAGCTGCTTGTTTCCTTTGGGTTTTTCTCTAAATTTCGAAAAGAGGAAAGCATACATTACTACATATATTATAATTTCAACAGATTTAATATAGTATATCAACATGTTTTATGGCGTATGCAACGCACATAATAGTCTTTTTGTACTTATATGCCTACATGAATGAAAAGTGAACATCCAATCTTGAAATAAAAATGAAAAATATATTCAAATTAAATAATCAATTGTAAGAAAAAAATAGTCTAATCGATATATTTTAAACACAGAGAAATTCAGAAATAAACATGCAATTAAATGTGCAAATTTAGGTCTCATTTGGTTCATGGAACAAATTTTAGTGGAAATCATTTCCCGTGTCATTTCCTAAGGGATGAAAAATGGAAGATTCTTTTCATACGTTTGGTATTACTGGGAAAGTAACCGTGAGATATCACTTTATTTCATTTTCCATGTTTGTTTTGAGTAGGAATGGAAAACAAAGTTTGTATAAATTTTCAATTATACCCATGTTAAATCAAATAAGAATAGAATGCATTTAATGATATATTGTAATTCTAAATTGTTAATGGCGACAAAATGGTCATAAAAAATATTTATTTAATATTGGCTCATTTTTCCAAACTTTCCCATGAGGGGGGAAAACAAAACTCAAGTTAGGAGAATGGCTTCACTTTCCCCCCTACTTTCCTGTAAGTCAGGCAACGATTTCCCATGCCTAGACTTATTAAACATGGGAAAGCAATTGATTTCCTATCCCCAAGTCTCATTTCCCATGAACCAAATGGGACCTTAATGCATATGACATGAGCACAACCAACGCTAAATGTACATATAAATTAGATTAGAAACACCTGAAAATTGGTCAAGGTTTATGTTTGGCATTCTGTCCTTAAGACAATTTACGCCTCATTGCAGTGCTCATGGTTGACCAGTGCTTGTCTCATAAGATACAACGACCTAGTCCTTACTATTGTAGCACTCCAAATGAGCTAAGCACCGAGTGAATCACAATTGTATTGAATATTATCTCATACGAAGACTCATACTCTCTATAATATGCAAGTGACTCATAAATGCTTTTGAATGACGTGGATTGCATTTCTTTAGTGAGATGTAGATCCTTTATATAGATCTGAAAGCAGTGGCAGATTCATGAATTTTTTAGGGTACGCGCAATAGTTTAAAGACTAAGAGCTCATAAAAAAAATTTAGACAATCAAATGCCCTTATAATTAATCAATATTATTATCTATTCATAAAAAATAATAATAAAAAGACTACAATCAAGCTATGATTGTTGCCAACTTTAATTAATATCTATTAATATAACAAAAATCAATCTCAATTAATCTAATCAAAATAAGATTATAATCAAGCTACAATTGTCACTACTCATTAAACAAATACACAGAGGGAAAAACACAAGAAAATAAAAATCAGAAGAAGAAAAAAAAGCAAGAGGAGTGGTGCAGTGGCGTGAGAGCCTCTTCACCTTAGATTGGGTCTGCAGCAGCAAGCGATTGAAGAGCGGCCCTTCAAGTTTTAAGGATTGCGATTATGTATGAAGTGTTTGTAGCATATCTGACCCCCCACTCATGTCCTGGCACGTGGAGCATAAACAAGGCAGAGACCAGCTCAGTTGGCCATGCCGAAAGGTCGATCGGCATACTCTACCGTTTCATGCGTGGTCGGCAAGTCGGAAAAGCACCTACAACTGGCACTCTCACCAGCCTTCAGCACACAATACCGAGTGACCAGTCAGCACATTCGGTAGATTCTAACAGATAAACTCAAAATTCCCTCCAGAACCTGTCAGGAGGGTCTTCGGCCGGCACCACACCAGTGTCCCATACCTCACCTGACGTTTCTTTCTCTAGGCCGAATCTAGCACTACGCTCTAACAAAGGATGCTACGGACCGAAGGCTCCTCAGGTTCAAACCTCCATTCCACTTGTAAGTTAGCTCTATTTCTATTTGTTTAGCGCAAACATGAAGTATTATAATTTATATTGTTTTAATGATTGATATCTTGCAAGAGGACTCCTTGTACACACACTATTGCTTTTGGTGAAGGTAAGGCTATTCCATCAGGGGATTTTTATCTAAAAATAAATAAATGATGCAAAAAAGAAAAAAAATCCATTCAAAGATCTAAAACAATGATTAAAAGAAAACAAATAAAATTATGATGTTTTTTAAAGATAGGCGTTGGACTCACGTGTCTTATTCAGTGAGGGTGCTATTTAGCGAACCACTTTTCAGGCTCATTATATTAGACGAGCGAGTGAGGTGTTTTTTTTTTTCACTATTGGACTATACAGTCTCATTTAAGTTAGTATCGTCTCTTACCAAACATGGGTTTCGAGTGCTATTTAACCCAGTCCAGTCCAGTGAGGTGTACCAAACATGGCCTTAGTTTATTAGAATATTTTTAACCTATGTTCTAGGTTTATTATTTTATTCTCAAACATATAGGTATTTTATTATGAAAATTAACATATGTATAGGTATGTTTTTTGTGTAATTTTTTATTTTTATAAATCCTATATTGTAGACCATATGTATTTAGTTTATTAGAATGTTTTTAACCTATGTTCTAGGTTTACTATTTTGTTTCCCAAACATAGTATTTTAATTCTTAAAAAAAAAAATATATATTTTATATTATTTGTGTACGCCTTAATATTCCTTAAAGTGTCTTTTGTTTGGCTTCTACCTACACAGTAAGTTTATTCAAACGTGTTATATGTTGATTGTTTTTCACAAATTCTTTTAGGGTGCAATGCAATAGTCAAAATTCAAAATTTGTTAATAAAACAAAAGATGTATTAAATCAAGGAATTTGCATTAAATCAAAGGATTTTAATTTATTTTAATTATTTACCTCTAAGGGCATAATAGTCACAAAAATAAATAATAAATACAAATTGGGCCTCAATTCAATATCTGTGACACGAGGGTTTTTCCTAACATTTTTGGCATGAAATGGGTCTATAAAGACCCCAAAATTCTAAAGTTGGAATCTAGTCCCTAATTTGTTAAAATTGGATGGAGAAATGTGATTCTCCATGGTAGAGGCGAGGGACTTGAACGCGCTGGAAGCCGTGCAAGGAAGTCGCTTGGACTCTTGTAGACTTCATGACTTCGCCAAAAACCCTTAAAATAAAACACGCTTCTTCCCTCTCTCTTCGTCTCTCTCTCCCTCTCTCTGCCTCTGGAACTCACGCCCATCTGCAGAAGAAACAAACGAAGAGACAGAGAGCACACAGCCCACGCCTGAGAGCGAGAGAGAGAGAGAGAGAGAGAAACATAAATTCCTTTTCCCACCCGCCCAAACTCTAACCAAACCCAAAAACCACCAATGGCGATCTCCTTGTGCTTCACACCCGCCTCCACCTCCTCATCCTCATCCTCTCTCTCCAAACTCAATCCCCACCATCCATCTCTACCCTCCGCATCGCCCCTCCTCCACCTCC